TGCCTGGCATAGCAAATCTTGGCAAGGAAATCTACAGATATTCTGATTGTACTGATTATTAAAAAGTTTGAATATCTAACAATTAGATAATGTAAGTGAAATGCCTGGTACTTAGTGGATATTCAATAGATTTTCATCAAAATTATGAAATCAATCTATGGGTTTATTTTTTTTAAAGATTTTATTTATTCATGAGAGACAGAGAAAGAGGGAGGCAGAGGGAGAGGCAGGCTCCCCGCAGAGCAGGGAGCCTGATGTGGGGCTCAATCCCAGGACCCTGGGATCACAACCTGAGCCGAAGTCAGACACTCAACCGACTGAGCTACTCAGGCACCCTAATCTATGGGTTTAGATAGGAAATGGCTCTCTACTGGGTGACATCCATTTATTCAATATATATTTATTAAGGCATACTATTTTTGAAGGTCTGGTTGTTTGCATCTAGGTGGAATTCCTTCTTTTCTCTGCTACCTCCAAGGAGTAGAAGCACTGATCTAAGGTTAAGAAAAAAAAGCAAATTCTTTGAGTACAAATTAGGAGCAAGGCGCTAAGAGTTTGACCCTTCACTGTGGACAAGTAGAGGGGTTAAATGTTAAAGCATCCGAGTATCATGGTGTCTTTTATGAATGCTTGGCTTGGGCCCATGGGAGTGCCTGGTCCAGTGACATAGGTGTTTTGGAAAAACTCCATGTTTATCCTCTTTTTACTGAGCACTATTCACACTGAACACTCCAGGTCACCAATGAGGGGCAAAGGGAGGAGGGGAGAAGAGAGGGCGGGGTTCCCACATTAAGCATTTCAGGTTGCAAGCCGTTAAGTTTTGGGGTTGGTTTGTTATGTAGTGATAGATAACCAGTACAGGCCCAAAGAGCTAACAAATAATAAATTTTTCTTTGGCCTAACCTTGTTCTTCCTGGAAATAACTCCCTGGAAAACCCTTGGCAGAGATGGATATATGGGTTTCACTTGGTATATTGGTATATATTCACAACAGTATTTTCCTTAGTTGCCTAGCATGGTTGGCACAAAGAGCTGCACAAGGTACGAGACCGTAAGTACTCAATGTAAGGTGGTCATAGTTCTCCAGGGAGACTTAGAAAGGTCCCTGCATCTTGCTATATGTACGTATACAATGAGATTTGGGGTTCAGACTCCTGTGTGGATTCCTTATTCTGGTGGACTCTACCAAGGGAGCAAGAAAGACTACTTTTTTGTTTATGCCCTAAGGCCTTCACTGACAGCATGTGAATAGCTTCCTAATCCTCTTTTCCACAGCTCCCATATCCTGAACATCTTTTAACTCTAATTGCCAGAAGAGATACAGAAAAGACAGTTGAGAGAACATGCACAAAGGAAAAGAAGGCACATCTGCTTCAATATGGCCTTTTTTGTACTCCTACAGCTTCTTAGTATTATGACCAACTGTTCTTTTTTTCAGCTGATTGGTGCCCCAGCTCCTCCTTCCCAGGGGTCCAGGGAGCTCAATAAACAAGCAAAAAAAAAAAAAAAAAAAAAAAAAAGGAATATTGTGAGGGAATACAAGTAAGTTACTAATCATAATATTTTTCGAGCTGTGAGACCTGAGATATTCTATTCCCTCCTCCATGATGGGAAGGAAAAGGTAGAAATTATGGAAAGGAAGGAAGTAGTAACTGAAGGGAGAAGGGATAAGAGAGGCAAAGAAAGAGAACAAGGCAGGAAGGACAGAAAAAGAGAACTAGATGAGGAGTATGGGAGGAAGTGAGAAATGGGAGAAGGGGAGGAGAGATAGGAATAAGTTAAAAAATGGAGTGGAGGGAGGGAGAGAAGGAAGGAAGAGATGGAGAGGAGACTAGAAATACTGGGTGAGGGGGAGGAAAGGAGTAGTAGAGGGGAAAGAGACTAGGCGTAGCCAGACAGAGGCTATATCTCCCTCTTTCCCTCCTGTTTGCTATCATGTACCAACCTTCTTGTCATTTCAACAACTTTGTTCCTCTTTCATAGTTTGTCTCTGGACCCTAATGCGATGATGTAAACTTCTGGGATGAAAATCCAACGCCCTGGCCACTCAGTTCCAACCACAGGGCATGCTCTTGCCTCAGTCTTCTACTCCCATAGTCTCATCCAGCTTGGGTTCATCCTGGATCTCAACATCATCAGAAACTTATAGTCTCTGAAATCTTAATTCCAAATATCCCACCCAGAGCACTGGCATCTGTACTGCCAGTTTACTTGCTCAAATACCCCACTGCAGTCATTCTTCAACACCGATGCTTCTGGGACGCCTGGGTGGCTCAGTGGGTTGAGTGTTTGCCTTCGGCTCAGGGTCCCGGGGTCCCAGGATCGAGTCCCACATCGGGGTCCCTGTGGGGAGCCTGCTTCTCCCTCTGTGTCTCTACTTCTCAGTGTCCCTCATGAATAAATAAAATCTTTTTTTTGAATAAATAAAATCTTAAAAAAAAAAAAACAAACTCAAAACACGGATGCTTCGAATACCTTGGCCCCCTTCCTGGCTCTCCTCTACATCCCCACAATCAGGCCTCATATGCCATCATTTGCTATTTTTTTTTAATATTTTATTTATTTATTCATGAGAGAAAGAGAGAGAGAGAGAGGCAGAGACACAGGCAGAAGGAGAAGCAGGCTCCATGCAGAGAGACTGATGTGGGACTCGATCCCGGGTCTCCAGGATCAGGCCCTGGGCCAAAGGCGGCACTAAACCGCTAAGCCACCCGGGCTGCCCCATCATTTGCTTTTTATATGTTTTTTTTTTATTAAGATTTTTTTAAATATATCTATTAATGAGAAAGAGAGAGGCAGAGACACAGGCAGAGGGAGAAGCAGGCTCCATGCAGGGAGCCCAACAAGGGACTCCATCCCAGGTCTCTAGGATCATGCCCTGGGCTTAAGTCGACGCTAAACTGCTAAGCCACCCGGGCTGCCCAATGTGGTTTTGATTCCATATATATCCTAACAAATATTCTTGTGCAAACACCATCTTGGTCCTCTCTCCCTCTGTTGTACTTGCTTGGTAAACACCCAACCCTGGATGACCTCAAGAATTTGTCTTCTCTCTGCCTGCACCTGAACAAATACCTTCAGTGATTTAAAGTCGTGATCTAAAATACCAAATGAGCTTTTAATATTGCTCACAAGTCCTACTGACTAGTTATCTTTAGAAAACTAATTTTTCCATTCTTAAAAGATGGAAAAATGAAAAAAAAATTGTATCTTCTCTCTCCTCAAACATCCTACCTCAAAATCTTTACCCTTAGTTGATGTTGCCTTTCTTTACTGAGAAAGTACAATTTTCAGACAGGAACTCTACTTTCAACCTTCTTGCAATGGTGCCCTTCTTGCAACTCCTATTGCAAATTAATGTCTTTGTCTCTTACTTTTTAAAAAACATACGTTTTTAAAGATTTATCCATCCACTTGAGAGAGAGAGAGAAGTGCGTGCATGGGATGTGTGTGTGCAGAGGGTGAGGGAGAGAATCTCAAGCAGACTCCCCGCTAAGCACAGGGCAGGGAGGGGGCCTGAATTCCACCGACATGGGCCAAAATCAAGAGCTGGAAGCTTAACCAACTGAGCCATGCAGGTGCCCCTGCCTCTTAAAACCTCTTAAGTCATCTCAGGTCCTCCTTTTGCCCCTTTGCTTTTTCTTCTCAGGGGGTTACCTGTCTCCCTTTCTATCATCACATCATCCCGGGGAGCTTAAGTACAAGCCCAGCACAGCACAAGCCAACAGAACTTAGCGCAGTGGGTATGCTCTCCCTGTGCGATGTCCAATACAGTCGCCACTACCTCACGTGCCCATCGAGCACTGGAAATGTGGTTGGTGTAGGGATCCCTGGTGGCTCAGCGGTTAAAGCGTCTGCCTTCAGCCCAGGGCGTGATCCTGGAGTCCCATGGCGAGTCCCGTGTCGGGCTCCCTGCATGGAGCCTGTTTCTCCCTCTGCTTGTGTCTCTGCCCTTCCCCCTCCATGAATAAATAAATAATCTTTAAAAAAAAAAAAAAAAGAAATGTGGTTGGTGTGACCGAAGCACTTAGCTTTTATTTGTGTTTAAAGAGATTTTCCTCAGGTGCAGAGCAATGGAGTTATAGTTAAGGGGCTTCTCACCGTAATTAGAACATAATCCCAACTCCTTTCCACACCCAAAAGGGCCTGTACCACCAGCCTGGGCCTTCCTCTCCCACACTCCGTTCTCTGCCTCATTCATTCCCACAGCTCTGCTCTCTCTGACCTTTCCCGACCCAAGCCGGCTTAGGTTTTTTTTTTTTTTTTAAGATTTTATTTATTTATTCATGACAGAGAGAGAGAGAGAGAGAGAGAGAGGCAGAGACACAGGCAGAGGGAGAAGCAGGCTCCATGCAGGGAGCCCGACGTGGGACTCGATCCCGGGTCTCCAGGATCAGGCCCTGGGCTGAAGGCGGCGCCAAACCGCTGGGCCACCCGGGCTGCCCCGGTTTAGGGTTTTTGCATATGCATTTCTTTTTGTGGGACACGCTACCCTGCTCTTGCTCTTTCCAAGCCTTCTGTCTTGGCTTAAAGGTCACCTCTGCAGAGGCTCTCTCGGACTGCGCGCGCCCAATGACATCCCTCCCTCCTTATTCTTCCGCTTTCTTCCTGCAACGCCCGTACGGCTATTTCTTCCCTCCTCCTTGTCTGTCATCCACCCCTTCCAGGTTGGCCTGTCCAGCTCGGCGGCCCACCCCCGTCCCGCGCAGACACTAGGTTCTCTCTCCCGCGCGCCGCGCCGCAGACTCGGGCTCAGGCCCGCCGCGGACGGCGCCCCGCGCAGCAGCCGCACACCCGCCGCCCGGCCAGCGGGGAGGAAGGGCCGGCGGGGCGGAGACCGGGGGGACGCGAGCCCGCACGGGGGCGCCCGAGGGCAGGCGCGGAGCGAGCAGCGGAAGCCCCGCCCCTTCCGGCCGCGGCGCGTCCGCCTCGTCGGCAGCCACGGCGGCGGGGCGGCGGCGGGCTCCAACTGGGCCCGCCCCCTTGCCCCCGCCCCGCCCCGCCCCGCGCCGCCGCCGGCCGGGCGCTGTCAGCTCTCCTCGGCGTCGGGTGGAGACGCGGTGTATGCTGAGCCGCTGCGGCCGCAGGCTGCTGCAGGTCCTGGGCCTTAGCTTCCCGCTGCTGACCCGCCCGCCGCTTTTCCTCTGCCCTCGCCGCCTCATGAAACCGCTGGTCGTGTTCGTCCTCGGCGGTCCTGGCGCCGGCAAGGGGACCCAGTGCGCCCGCATCGTCGAGGTGAGGCCCGGGCAGCTGGCGCGCTCCCTGGGCTTGACCGGACGCCGGGCCGGCCCGTCCCGCCGCGCCGGGCGGTCCGCGCCCCCCGGAGCCCCGGTCTCCGCGGACTACGAGTCCCGGCGACCCTTGCGGCGCCCGCGTGGCGGTGGTCGAGGGTCCTGAGGCGCGCGGCCTGTCGGGACTCGTAGTCCACGTCCCCCCGCCTCGGGGGCGCCCAGAATGGAGGGGGACCGCTTGGGGTCGCTTTGTCCCCGCGCCCCTCTTTCCTTACAATCTGGGGACCAAGTTCGTCTGGAGAGTGGGCTGGGAAGGGGATCCGGGAGGATCAGCCTCCGGGCCCCCCCGCCCGCGGCGCGCCGAGGTCCGCGTGTGGCTGGTGGGAGGTGGGTGCGGGCAGCGGGAGCGCGGGCGGGGTGGGTCAGAGGCGGTGTGCGCTCGCGGCTGTCCGGCGGCGGGGCCGGCTCCTCCCGTCCGCCCCTGCCCGCGCGCCCTCTGCGCAGCCCGGTGTCAGCCCGGGGAGGAACCCCGGGGACGCGGCGATGTGCCCGCGGCGCTGTGCCCGCGGCGCTGTGCTGGCCCCGGCCGTGGCCGCAGCAGCTCCGAGGCGCAGCCGGGATTCGTGCGGTGGAAAAGCCGAGCCGCGGGGTAGGAGTTCAGGCTGCAGCCTCCCGCTCCGGCCCGGCTCCGGCCCGGCTCCGGCCCCGCTCCTGCCCGCTCCTGCCCCGCTCCGGCCCCGCTCCGGCCGCCGCCGAGCCCCCTCCTCCCTCCGACTCCCCTTTGCGCTCTCGACCCTAAGGCTGTGCACCAGATTTAAGCTCAGCGTAAAATGCCTCCAGCGCTAAGATTGCGTACTTTCTTTGTTGTCGCTTCACGACGTGTTAGGGTTACCGGTTCAATTCTGTTATTTTTCAAACAGATAAACGTGCTTAGCTGCAGTGACACTGAGGAGAAAGGCTTTATTGGCGAATCCGGGGAGTGAAATTGGAGGTAAAGGAAAACAGGATATCTAGAAACGAGTGGTCCTGCAGAACACCCAGACAACCCCTGTGACACTCGGTGACCCCACAAGGTGTGACCCAGAACTTCTAAAATAATGCGCTCCTCCGTTCAGGACGTGGCTTACCGCGTTACCTTCGGGCTTTCACTCCTCTCCTGCCTGTGTTCATACAATCCACCCCCGTCCTATATTTTATTCTCTAAAGAACGCCCAAAGAAAGTCAAATGGTAACATCTACTTCATCGCTATTTTACAGATGTCTTTATAGTTATTGATCATTTTTAGGAATAAAAGTGGAGCTAAATCGGCCAAAAAAATATAAATATTTTTCTTATTTTTATTGGTTCTTTTAACTTTTTAAGACAAGTGGCAATCGGATGATTTCAGGCTTGTTTGCTTTTAATATATGAAATACATGTATATGGTATGATAGGAGAAGGAGAAAAGATTTCAGAGTCAGACATGGGTTTAAATCCTAACTCTGCTGTTTACTATTGTTGGTTTTTTTTTTTCTTATTTTTTATTTATGATAGTCACACACACACACACAGAGAGAGAGGCAGAGACACAGGCAGAGGGAGAAGCAGGCTCCATGCAGGGAGCCCGACGTGGGACTCGATCCCGGGTCTCCAGGATCGCGCCCTGGGCCAAAGGCAGGCGCCAAACCGCTGTGCCACCCAGGGATCCCTTGTTTTGTTTTTTAAGATTTTATTTTTGAGTAATCGGTACACTCAACCTGGAGCTTGAACTCACAACCTGGAGATCAAGAGTGGCAAGGTCTACAGACTGAGCCAGCCAGGCAACCCCCCATTTACTGTTTTAGTCCCAGAGAAGTTGTTACATTTAGCTGGCTTCCTCTGTGAAAAGAGAGAAATAATACCTATCTACTATGGTATTTGTGAATATTAAATAAGGTCAGATATCTGGCACACATAGATGCAGACTTTTTTCTCCATTTTAGACTTCCTGTTCTTAATTTTTGACGTTGGTTATTTATACTTTGAAGCTGTATTACTTTAAAAATTGGTTTGTGACTGCTATATTTGAATTCATTTAAATATTTTGTCTCTGAATCATGACCTGGTTTTAAATATCTACATCTAAACTAATAATACTCAAATTACTCCACTGCTTTAAAAATAATCTACACATTCTGTAGCTAGTATTCTTTACTCTGTTCAGTAATGGCTGATAATGTTTTAAGTCTGTTAATTACTAACTAGAAGACTTCCATGATTAAATGTTTCATACTGTATTATTCTTAATATTTTGGCAATTATATGAGCTTAAATTGTTTTAAATTGTCATCTTCTTTCATGAAAATAGTTGCTCTTGATTCCAGTTGCCATAAACAAGTTGATTTAGACAAACTCAAAATAGTTTATAATTTAGCAATTGCTACCTCCTCGCTGACTAAATTAAACAATGGAATGTCTATGAATGTTAAGTCAGAGGGTTCCCCCCCATGAGTCTTTTGTATTTTGACTCAATATTTTATTTCATAGGCAAATATAAACTGAATCCTAAACAACTGTAATTTTGGGGACTAAGTTTTTTTCTGTACAGAAAAAGTTCTATAAGTCAAGTTTAAATTTCCTGTCTATCATGCCAGTGCTAATTTAGCTCACAGAGTACCTGAAATGTGGCTGAAATACAATTTGGGGAGATGGGGAATTACATTGATTTCCAACTCAGCCTGCCAGAAGTACCTATTTGGGCCTGGCTATAGAGTCTCAGAGTATCTGGCCCTCCAATGTCCTGGGGCATTGCAGTTAGTGATGAGGTTATAATGGGAGGGAAGCTGGTTTGTATGTCTGTATGTACTTACTATCTCTTTTCTCTCTTCCTTCCATCTCTTCCCTCCCTCCCTCCCTCCCTTCCTCCCTTCCTTGAGGTGAGTTACCTCTGCTACTTACTCTCCTAGACCTTACGGAAGAAAAGGCAAATCTGATATAGTATCTTCTGCAAGTGTTCTGAACTAGGAAGGGAGGATTTGAGTGAGATTTGGGGTTTGACTTCGCCCTTTTGTTTGTACTGGTCCTCAGTTTTATTTTCTGATTAATGGCTTCTAAATCTGTGGCCTCTTGTACTCCATTTGTCTTTGAAAATTAGCCGTTTTCTAAATTAGTGCAATCCTTTCATTAGTTAAGTGCTTAGAGTTATTGTGGAATAACTTGTTACTAAAAAATCAAGATGGAGAATCTGTAATTTTTTAATTTCTAAAATTAAGCTTTATTTAAAATGTTTTGGCCCAAGAAAAATTTTGGTGCCATAACCTAAATTTGTCTTTCAAAATAACCACAATTTTGCATGTGTTAGCTGGAAGGATACTTAAACCTCCTCCTTTTTTAAAGATTTGCATACATAAACAATCTACGCTAAAGCTTATCCCCATGCCAAATTGCTTTCTTCAGAACCCCAAAAGCATTCTTGTAATTTTGTGTCATAACTCTCTCCAGGGCCTATATGGGTAACTCATACTTCGTGTGGTCTTCCTACCTACCGTGCTTAGAAATTTTGGGATAGTATTAACTTTAAGCATGTAGAAATAAGAAAGTTGATTTTATTTACCTTTGTGTTTACAGTGCTGAACATTGTGCCTGGCACATATTAAGGGCTCAATAAGTATTTTTTGAGTCAGTAGTTTTAGAGGACCCTGGTTTGTCCTAAGATGTAAAAAGTTTTAAAGTTTGGTCCCCAGGGGGCGCCCAAGTAGCAGTTAGCTCTCCCAATTTCAGGACGGAAACGTTTCAATGAGACTCAGCTGTCATACTCAGATTTCTTTTTTTTTTCTTTTTTTTCTTTATTTATGAGAAACAGAGAGAGAGAGAGGCAGAGAGGCAGAGACACAGGCAGAGGGAGAAGCAGGCTCCATGCAGGGAGCCCCACATGGGACTTGATCCTGGGTCTCCAGGATCACGCCCTGGGCTGAAGGCGGCGCTAAACCGCTGAGCCACCTGGGCTGCCCCATACTCAGATTTCTTATGTAACACTTTTGCTTACTCTCACTGAATAAAAGGTATGGTTGTGAAAATCTGCTGAGTGTTCTAAAACCAAGCTCCTGATTGCAAATCCCTAAAGCAGATTATGGTTCATAGAAGAAATTAGATAGGAAGATCCACTGAACCTTGTTTATAGGTCTTTCTCTCCTTTTGGTGGAATAGGATAGAGTAAGAAATAGGTTGGTATATATATATATATATATATATATATATATATATATACACACACACATATATATAATAGAAAGTTTGAATTATCTGTAAAAGAGGTAGTCCACAGAATGCCCGATTCTTCTGAAGTACCACCTTTTTATTAAAGCTGATTGTAACAGAATTTTTTTTTTTTTGGTTAAGAACTTGTAGGAGGGGAGAATATATTGAGATATTACTATCATTACTTTTGAAAGCTTGCTCCTTTTATGTACTTGGTTGGGAAAAGCTAAACACCTCTAATTCTGATGTTACTCATATTAGCTGTCTAATTTTAATTGCTTCCCCATCTCTTTCTCAATATTCTTAGAAATAAAAATGCCAGTGTATATTTTTTTTTCACCTCCAGATGGGATTCTTCTATTTTCTACTGAATGTATCATGGATATCTTTTCAGGTCTTTAAATATATATTTAATTCATTCTATTAGTTGCTGTGAATATTCCATAATATTCATATTCATGTTCTGTAGCATAGGTGTACCATTCCCCATTGATGGACATTGAGGATAGTCTTCAGGAATTGTTTTACTATTGCAAACAGTACTTTAAAAAACTTCCTTGTAAATATGACATTGCATATGGATACTTTTTTTGTAAGTTAAGTCCTAAAAGTGGATTGCTGAGTCAGAGGATATGCATATTTTTATTTTAATTGATAATTAATTGTCAATACTTTTCAAAAACATTATACTTATTAGATTTCTATCAGCAGTGTATGGTTCCTTATTAGCACAGGGTGGTTATCAGTCACTTTAATTTTTGCAAATTTGTAAATCTCCTTTCTAAAGC